TACTATAATAATGTAAAAACATATAATGTAATATGATAAACTAAACTAAAAGATAATATAATATAATAATAAAATATATTACATTATAGTTGTTTTATATTATTATAAAACATGTTATAATATATTAACAAACTAAAATTTAATATAATATATATAATATAATATAATGTAACATAACATAATATAATAAAATATATGTATAATCATCAGGTGTATATATATATATATATATGTGCACATATATATATATATGTATATGATGTATAAACCCCATAAAATCTATCTATTGAAAAACAATACTACCTGGATGGTGTAAGGGTCATTATTTCCCTTCATCATTTCCCACCACTTTGGTCCGTCCTTGTCACGACGCAAGGCTTGAGCCACCAGCTTTTGAGCCTCTCGACTCTCGACTGATCCATGACCAGCCAACAACTCATTTAATGTGGCACAACCAATGATTCGCCGTCCCAAAAACCATAAATGGTTGGTGTAAACCATCCCCAAATGGCAGGCTTATGGCATTGGGTTTCCCACATTATAGTCTATTATAACAATGCCAAAAAAGCATTGTTTCTTAATTGGAAATGGGGGGTTTATGGCACTCAGTGCCATAGGAATGGGATGATGTGAAATAATTACACCTGCATAATTTATTATAATTTGATATACCTACATAAACATCTCCAAATATATCTAAAGATAAGGATTTGGAGGTAACCCAAGTTCAGACGTAAATGGTAAGATATTAATGGCATGGGAATAATAGTGTGAAATCCAGTGGCCAAAGGGAATTCCAGGGTCATGAACATGTGCCACTCAGCTGATTTTTCGTACTGATGGTGTGCCCCAATTTGGTGAATTCTTGTCATGAAATCAGTTGGGTATGTTTTTCGCTTTCGCCCCCGCGTCAGTGAGGCATCCTCATACTGACTATGTTCTGAAAAATTGTGTTTCTGAAACATCTAGAAACATTTAGTAACCTCATCTCATTCAGCGGTTTTGACATTGAACACCCCCTGGCCTTTCTTCAGCCCTTCTTGCGGTCAGTTTCACACCTTTTTCACTGGCTCAATTCCAATTGTCATTCCTCAAATCTCATGTTTATGGGCTTCAAACCGTTCGTTTTACTGCTTCACTTCCAATTGTCTTGGCCAAACTCACACTATTCCTAAGTCCAATTTCGAGTAACGCCTAATTACAGGAAAACCAACATTTACAGGAACCCCTTATATTCCATGGGAAAAAATGGAAAAAACACATGGTTTCCTGTAGGGTTTTCCCCAAAACCGATCCATTTTCCAACCCTTTCGCTACCCGCCGCCTTGATGCGTTGCTCCTCGCGCCGGCGCTCCCTTTGCGCCTGAAGCCGCTCGCGCTTGGCGACCTCTTCCGCCTGAAAAACTGCAACCAGCGCTGAGTGGCCAAGTCTGGGAGAGTTAACACCAAAAATAGATGAGTTTATAATGGCTTACATTGGGGTTATAATTATAGTGGTTTAAACTATTTTAAATTTTCGAAATAAAATTATACAGTGACTTCACCAGCAAGTCTGGGACTTTAACCAGAAAATAGACGAATTTAATAAGTGGGTTTCAACTAAACAAGCAATGTTGAGGGTGTAACGGTGTAACCAGGCAACCGGCAAAACTGGAGGATTCAAGCAAACCAATGAACATGGGACAATGAGCAGCATACTGTGAAGATGCGGGTTGCACCAACAAGTAAAGTACACAATATGTCACAACATGTCACAACAAGCGATTGAATAGATTTTGTTGTTTACATTATACGTAATTATTGCATGGTCCAAATCCCAGTAACCCATAGTAACCCTAAGAATGAGATGGCCAACCCTTAAATTGACAGAATCAGTGGGCCCAAAACATGACTGATACCCATGAATGGAACCTGTTATCCGGCTTGAGCACTTTTGATCCCATCGGCACCAGAATCCATGATTGTGGACACACGGCCACTGGCCGATTCGTGGCACTCAGTTCCACATTGGGGCGTATGAGCATGTATGAATCGTATAATTACTAGTATTTACTAATACTGTACGAGTACTAACCCTGTAACCATTAATTTGTACCATTTGCACAAAGAAATCCGTTGATTCCCGTATTTCAAGTGCAAGTTTCAGTGTGTTCATCGGTGCCTCCTTTTGCTTCTGCTCTTCTTCTGCCAACCTGCAAAACGACTGAGGTTTGGTGGTGCAGCCCAGGCAGAATCCTACGGCCGAGTGGCATGTGGCAACCCAAAACTTACTGATAAACACAAATTGACTTAAATAGAGGCACGGCTTAATACTGAGTCCAGATGCAATACCCAACTCAGAAAACACTATGAAAGAAAACAGCTGCGAACACAAAAACTGTGCCGTTGGATCACCAACCGAATCCCAAAGGTTAGATGCTCAATGACTATCACCGCTGGTAAGTAAAATTCGTCATATCACAATTCGATTCTAAAAGGACACATCATGTGACTCATCTATCATTTGACTTTCAGGGAACCATTTTCTATACCCTCTGGTTATTGAACATAGCTATGGAAAAGGGCCAATTTATAGATGATTCACGATGATTTACTCATTAAAAAGAAGTGGTTCTCCATAAGTTTTGACCAGTTTTCATCAAAATCCCCCGCAGCGTCGTGCCTACGTCGCTTCTCCTCCTCCTTCTGCTGCGTGCGCTGCCTCCGCAGCTCATGTGCCTCGCGCCGCTGCACTGCCCGCCTCGGCGGAAGCACAGAAACATAGAGGATTTACATAGTTTTACCAGCAAAATTGTTGTTTTTGCTGCACAAATTGAAGGTTCTACATTCAGCAAATTGATGATATTGATGTTTTGACTATGATCATGGAAGGTATATTGAAGGATTCACATGGTTTTACCAAACAAACTCAGCAAAGGTAGTGATGGAAGCACCAAACCTTGAAGTCTTACCACCAAATGCCAGCAAACATTTAGGTTGAACCACTTGTGCCGTGTCTGGTGGTGACTAGGTAACTGCGCTGATGTGTTAGGTCGCTGGAAAATGTATTGGGCACCTTGAAATATTTTTTGGGCACTTTTGCACAAGACGTCCCAGCCAGAACATGAATTAAATGCCAAATACTGGGTTAATGAACTTAAGCATTTCTCCTCCGTGAACATGAAACAATCGTATGATACCACTCGATTTCTTCGTATTTTATTACCAATTGCAGACAACCGGGAACAATGGCTTCGACTTACCCCGACATTGAAATAAGTAACCAGCTTAGGGTGTGCTGCTACGGACGTGTGGCTCAATATGAGCCGTGTATCGCTTCTGAAAATCTGAAAAAATACTGGATTAATTAGTAAGTCAATGTTGCCTGAAATTAAAGGGCACTACGGCTTCCTGGATAATCACAATGGGTTCCAAAATGTAGCTCATATGGTTTGAAATGGTTTTGGGCTGGCATATATGCAACCAGTTTCAAATTGTTGTGAAAACCATCATCCCGATCATATGTTACAGCACATTTTGCTATCAATATTCCTCTATCAGCAACATCTAGGAATATACATACATATATATATATATATATTCATCTTATATGGTTGAAAACTTTTAGCTCCTCCTCTCTCTATCGCCATCTTAGGGAGATCAGTCAACCGTTCCATCCTCACCGGAAAAATCCCATCGGTTGAAGGGGAACGTATTCCCTTGAACCGCTCCAATATGTTCCAATGAAGCAAGTGGCTTCTCCATTTCCACCAAGGCCTTAGGTTTGGGTGCCCGCGGTGCCGCTGAGCTGCCTCCTGCGAAGAAAAGACGATGGAATGCTAAAGAACTGGACTGCGAAGAAAAACATATATGAATCAAACTATATGAAACACTTTGGATATATATATATATATGATAATCATGATATAAATATACATAGATGGATATATAAACAAATAATTTCGGATTAATAAATTTCATTTGTTCCTTCATTGCATAAAAGGAAGATCCTTGCTGCCATGCAACGCTCTGCCTTGCCAACGTAGTTAATTAGAAGGTACAAAAGTCAGCCCTGATAATCAGGCATATAGTGTGCATTCGCCCTAATGACTGTACATGTCAAAAGGGCCTCATGCAGCCATGCTTCTGTATCAGGCTTTGCCAAGGGCGTGACAGCGAAGGTTCCCTTGCGAGTCACATATGCTAATTGATCAGCAATAGCGCCCGCCAGTGCTGCAGAAAAAGCAGCATAATATTAAGAAAAACACATAGATAAATACATAAGCCGCAAGCCCATGCATTCTGAATAATATATGTATGTATATATATATATATATCAATATTAAATTAAAAATCAAATATGTATAAAGTCTAAATACTAAGATAAATTCAAATATAAAAAACACATAGATAAATACATAATACATGTATTAAAATCTGTGAATCCATCAGCCCATGAGGCCCAAAAATGTTAACCTCCATGGCAACTTTATGGCCACGGCCAGGCCACCGTTTTCAACCCACGAAGACGGCCGTCCACAGCCATGGCTACATTTTGGGTCACATCAACTCCCCATAAGGCTGCCATTTTGGTGCAACAAAAAGTATGTGTATTTTATGTATATATATATATATGTATGATTTTATATGATATGTCCCATTCTACTTACACCCTCATGTTCTACCAATTATATCCCTATTATATCTATCATTTCCAAAAAAATGGGCATACACCATAGAAGAACCTAAAATGGCAGTCACACAGTTTGTTGAATTTAAAAACGGGATGTGCATTCCCAGTAATAACCATAAACCATAGAAACCATAATATATTGTTAACTATGTATGATATGATGTGATATGTATGAGATATCTGGCTATTTACGACCAGCGATAGCCTCCGGTAAACGTGGCTGGCCGGAAAATCCTCCATTTAGTTGGAGGATTTTCCTAACTAAACCTCCGTTTTGTTCGTGGATTTCCCAGCCAGCCACGTTTGATGACCGGATGGTACCGTAATTCTACCATTCTTGCGGGTTGTATATCCCTAATGGTAAGTAAACCCGTCCTCCTTCAGCAGCTTCTGTGCTGTCACCCTGGGGTGTCACGACATCCGCCCCATGTGGTGAGGACGGGCCGGGGAGCGGAAGCTCCTGGGCGGGAAAGAGCTCTCCAGACACGTGGAGATAAGATGTGGATATCACATGCTTTCACTTTCAATGGATGGGTTTATATAAGGGAAAATCTATGGGAAACCATGGTTTTTACCGACCTTCTTTTTGGGGGTCCTGTATATGTTCCATCATCCAATTCTGGGATATGTTGTATGAACATACGTGTATGAACATAAAATAAGTATGCATGTATGTATATATATATACACTATAGATGCAAATGGAGATATGGACACACACACAGTATATATATACCTGAACCTCCCATTGGTACACAAAAATGTGTACCATTTTTTTCCTGCCCGATTTCAAAAAATGTGCCCGTTTAAGGGTCTGAAAAAAAAAGGTGTCCGAAGTTCCGTGGCTCTCCATAGTAATCAACCTGATTCTTTCCCCAAAGGCTCGATAGGACACTTTTGTCACGCGCTAATGCATGTGCAGCATGCCAAATACGACCTCGAACAGCCACGCCTGACAACATGGGTTGCATCGCAGCACATGTAAACAACCGAGCTTTGGACAGGGTAAATCTAAAGTATCCACCTCAACATCACGTATGTTTAAAATAGGCCAAGAATGGCCAAGATACCTCCAGCAAACAACCTTCAGCTATAGCGCAATTTTCACAACACCACATCAACAGTCGGGCATGTTTTTTTCACACGAAGAATCCTCATGCAGGGCGTTCAACATTCAACATTCACCACAAAAACACCACAGTCACAACATACAAATACATAACATATATAAGATGAACACTACACGCGGCAAAATCCAGAAACATGCGCACCGGGAGTCCAAGTAAAACGGAAATGAAGCCATTCCATGAACTAAACGGTGCGATGGAAGAACTGGCTAGGCTCAGACTGCAACATGCCCCCCACAAACTCAAGACCACATGGCGGCGCCTTCTCTTCGGACCATGCCTTCTGTTCGGACCATGCGTAAAAAGGGTTTTCAAAAACACGCGACACGTCATGACGGTCAAAACAAGAGGGTCAAGTGGTACATTTTTTTTTTTCGCGCCCGTTTCGCGCCTTTTTGCGCCCGTTTTGCGCGTTTTCGCGCCCGTTTCGCGCAAGACCCTTGGATAATATCAGGCGCAAAATGTCAACATCATGCATGTCAAAACCGACCTAATGCAAGGCGCCATTTTTCATCAAGCAAACGTCAACCTGACCGTGTTTCCCAGAGTTCACGGTCAAACTTTGTCATGCACAGCCATGCCACAGGCCGGCTACTTTTGCCATGAGGTGTTTCCACATATAGTCCCATGCATCAAGCACTTGTGCGTCGTGCCATGAGTTACCCATGGGCAGGGCTTCAAACATTTCACAGCGAGCGGAAATTTTCCGATTTTTATCCTGGAGGAGGAATCAGATGCAACCATCTGAAAAATAAGTCATGCATCCAGTCATGCATGGAAACAAGAACGTCTTCAATATCGTGCACAGCAGCCTTGCTTTTTGATTGAAGTAAATCATGGTAAAGCTATATATGGGGTATGGGGATATTTGGCACAGATTAATAGCTGCATGTTGGTCACATCATCTGTGCCCATGTCATCTTTCAACAAACACATTGTGAAAGTAACTATATAGGCCAACGAGGCTTCAAACCCAGCCACATGCTTGCCAACAGGGCTGATTTGGACGTATATGTTTGAGCACAAGTGGGGAAGGGGCTGGAAAAACTGAACGGCACAAAACATAGACATTATTAGCCACTTGGAAAAATATGTCCACACAGCTACCTTTTAAAGAATGTGCTCCAGAATGAGGTTGTTTTCAGAATCTGCCCGTTTACCAAAAAAGTGTACCAAACACCCTAAAAGTACACATTTATCTGTACCACTGGGCGGTGCAGGTATATATATATATATGTTTAAATTTTTATATACATTTGGCAACGAAATGAGGAATGGTAGCTAACTCTATAGCACATCAGTATGGGCAAATATTCACAATTTTGGAAAGGATAATTTCTATCTTGAAGGGGGAAGAGCCATATTGTGATGGTTTCGAAGCAGTGAGGCATCTTGCTACGACATGACCTTTGTGGGGTTGCAATCCCATGGTCATTGCACCTCTTCCTCTTGGCAATTTCAAGTAGGATCAAGAAAAAAACGCATTGGAAACACAAACTAGATGAGCACAGGAAATATGCATATACACATCTCAATATTATTACAGTTCGCTATATTTTTAAAAAAGGACTTCTACAACCACGCAGGACCTAAGAAGCTGCATCCAAGCATCTTGCTTTGCATCTTGCTTCAACTTCCGTTGTTTGCTGCGTTCCTCCTGGGACTTCCGCCGTTCCTCCGCGCGCTTCTCGATCTCCATCAGGACTTTTGGACAGGAGCGGCTCCGCCGTGGCACCTGCAACGGCAGCGGGAACGAAACTGTATAGATCAACATCCTTGGAAAATAGATGACATGTGAATAACCATATGTTTTTTTAACAGTATAATCATAATAATCATAGCATATTTAATCAAAATCAGACTACATAATGGTAATTAATTTATTTAATACTAAATATCATCAGCAGCAGCAGCAGAATAAGCAGCAAGAACAACAGCAGCAACAGTGGAATATGTAGCGGCATCTCCTGTCAATATTCAGTCATCCAAAGGGCATCCAAATCATTGGATGTATCCCAAGAATAACTGATTGATGCTGATTCGCTCTGATTTCCAAGCGATATTCTGTCCTCTTGAAGTCTTGTTCATGACCTCACATTTGCCAAGGCACCGGTGCCGAAGTCTCCGCCTCCACTTCCACACAATCCATCAGCGTTGGAGAAGGGGTTTCCTCCGCAGGAGCCGCGTCTGTGCTGGGCAAGGATGCCAAGAAAGCCTTGGACGCAGCATCTCTGTGATTTGAGGAAAGGTCTACCGATTTCACCGGAGATTTTCGACGGATGTTAAAAAAAGAATTGTACGAAGGAAACTCAGGAACCACGTTTTGTTGTTATCAACACTGGGGATTGGTTGACGGAACATTTCCCCTTTTCTGCGACACACCGAGTTCTTGGAAGATGGAATTTCGGACGTCCAATGACAATCGCAAGAACACCCAAGCACCCTGGATTCTTGAAAGCTAGTGCTTGTGACATCTTTTTTCCCAGGAGCTCAGGAGTCTAGATTGGACTGCGCTCTGCCTTGCGAAATCAACCCTGATTGAAACCTTTTTAGGACAAACAAACCATCCAAGTTCCTCTCAAAAAAGTACGTTGAGAAGTAACGTGCCCTGCAAATCCTCAGGAAATCAAACATGGCCATGGCCATGAACAATCCCTCATTTGTAGATGGTTTTCCATGTTTATCCCATTAAAACATATTTCTCTCTCCATGAAATTCGGTTTTCCCGGCAAGGCATGTTTGATTCCCAAAAACATCCAAGCTCGGCTTTTGCAGAGCTAAGTCGCTGAAGTTTTCGCTGCCAAGGTAGCGGCCGATTTCTCCCCCTGAACCTCTCCTGGTTGCTGGTTGCAGCACTGAACTGGAAAGAAATATGAGTCTGAATGTCAAATTGGGATGATCTTATCATCTGAAATGAATAGGGGCGGAATATAGTCACCTAGAATCATCTTTCCATTCTTGGACACAAACTTCCGGAAACACCATCCCACTCACCACTCACAAACGTTGGGCATCAAACGTATGTCAACTATAAAGGTTAGATAAGCCTTGGTGGAATACATCTATGGTGGATATAGATATGGTTAAATGGGTTTCTACACTTCTATTCAGATTTTTTATTCCCATCATACCCCAATTACGATCATTACAATATATCATCATTCATTCATTCAATCATTCATTCATGCAATCATGCATTCATTCATTCAATCAATCAACCATTGAGTCATTTCATTCCATTCCATTCCATTTCATTTCATTCATTTCATTTCATGTCATTTTCATTTCATTCATTCAGTCATTGGAGTGCAAAACAAACATGTTTTTTCCAACTCATCGCCCAGTCTCGGACGTGTAATCCCCAGGCCACCCACGCACGGCGCACACAGCGCAACTGGCAGAAAGACACGGCCAGCACGGAGCGCTGGTGGAAACGCTGGAGCTCCTAAGGCCCAGGCAGGGAACTTGGGGATCTGTATGTGCACTATATATATATATATGTGCAAATATATTGATATATATATATATATATTTAAAAAAATACATGTATTTATTGGAATATAGTGAGATATGTGTATATATACTTATATAAAATTAAAATATGTATTTACTGATATATACATATAATAACATATAGTTGGCAAATTATCATGTTTCACCATATAACCTGAAATAAAATCACTTGGGGAGGATTCCTCCATCCTCTTACTTAGCATCATTCCAGTGCAGTTTCCATCCGTTTTGGCTGCCAAAGGTTCTTCCACATGCTTGACCGCTTCTCGTTCTGCCACCAAGGATGTGACCACTTCTCGCCACAGAAGTAGGCAGCTAGACCTTAAGTGGAGTATCATCCCTCCTAGTACTGGTTCCATCCCTGAAAATATAGTTTTTTTTTTTTAACGAACAAATATGGACATATAAGGAATTATGCATATAATAACTATATATATATAATTGTATATATATATATAACCAACAACATGTTAACACATGTCTGAAAAATTAGGAAGGAAAAACCAAACTATTAGTTAACCATCATTATCCCCATTGAAATGGCCGTTTGAAAGGATATCCCATTTTCAGGTATACCCAAATGCATTGCGTATGTAAGTCGCATGACTTGTATGACTGTATGCATGGCTACCTAAGAAACCAACAAGACCACACACCTGCACAAACACCATGAGACTTTGGCTTCTTAAAAGAAAACATAAATAAATAAATATATATATGTATATGAATGAATGCACATATGTATGTATGAATGCATGAATGTAAGAATGTAAGAATGTAAGAATACAAGAATGCAAGAATGCAAGAATGCACGAATGCGTGCATGTACGAATGACTGTATGTATGGACGTATGAGAAAAAAAACATGAACATAAATGTTCATCATTTTGGCTGTTTTTATAAGGGCCTCGCCATATCAACCCTGAGTCGATCTTCAAGGACATCAAACACCCCTTTTGCCAATGTATTTTGGTTTTTCCCGCTGTTGGCCAATGTGCACTCTTGGGTTTCCTTCAGTGGCCCAAGGTTTGTAAGGGGTGATATCCCATGGGTCACCACTCTTGAAGGGGTGAAATCATCTTTTTATCCAACCACTATGCATCAAACCCGATAGTCAATTACGGGTACATCATTATATCCCTACTATACCCAATGCGTATCCATCAGTTTCTATTCCGAGTATACATCCATTACAACCCAGTCATTATATCATCATTATACCCATGTATGTATATATATATACATATGTGTAATTATATGTATATATATGTGCACATGGCTGTGACTGAAAATGAAGGATGCCCTCACAATCGCAATTTCATGGATAAAAAGATGATAAACCATGTAGTTTTGGGGTGCCAAATTTTGAGACACGCCCATATCATATCCCAATCACTATGTTCCTTTGATATACTATTAATTTCCTTTTTTAGGAATGAGATAAGGTATACGCCTTATTAATCTATATAATATGTATATAATATATAAATAATTTCACAAATAGTTAAATATATTTATAATGATATATAATTATATATATAATTTTCTATATATATATGTATATATATATATGCATCCTGTATATCATCATAACATATATATATATATACCATATCCTAATTTATATTCCCCTCCTGTCCTTTTTTGCAGCCTCCAAAATAAATAGAAACGTTGGACATCTGGAAACAGGAGGCAACCATAATCTATATCATGCTCCAAAAACTTTTCGATCTTTCTGGTGGTTGCTGTAATATACCCACAGTTATAGCCCTTTACCACTTATACTAACAAAACCCCATAGAATGTATAATCCCATAGAAATAACCAGTTGTAACTAATCAATAATAATTGGCCATAAGATGCCCATGAGATCCGCACCAAGCGGCAGCAGTGAGATCTTCTTTGCCACCGCAATCCGTTGCCCCTTGCGCTGCAGCGCCCGCAGAGCCTCCTGCCATCGTCGCAGCGTCAGCTGCCAAGCGCTGCGACGCCAGCGGTGCCACAGGGCCTCCCAGTGTGAAGAGCAGTGGAAGAATGTCGGTTAAATGGGGAGATAAGCAACACAAAGCAACTAAAATGTGAAGTTATGAATAGGACAATTATAGAAATAAGGATGTAACTGAATTGTGGAAACAAAAACAGCGATTTGAGCGAACAAATTCGAATTTCCATGGAAACAATTGGATTTGCAAACCAAACAAACACAGAAATTGATTGGCAAAAAGTTGGGTTAGCCATTGACAAAACAGTGGGATTGCGAGGGCAAAGAATCAATCAAAATACTAAAAAATCAGTGATCAGAAACTGAAATGGGCCTCATGCGGCCAAACACGCCTGTCTTTCCTGCAGCAATAACAATCTCCCTCGCCCAATCACAATGTAATGGAAAAACATACAAACATATATAAGGACTATACTATACCCCCATGACGACGGAGGTCATTTTCCAACTATGGTTGGTGCATACCTATGCTGAAGTATGGAGACAAAGCATGAACTATGATCCCCCAAATCAGAAAGTCATCCAAATAGTTAAGTCAGTAAAAAAATGTGTGATATCATATTCTGCAGGCTTACATGCTCGTTAGCAGTTCCAACATGTTTCAACCCATCCCAAAATCAGTCATGATTAGTCAGTCGGCAGATTCATCGCCGGCTTGAACATTCAACAAAGCGCCTAGGAACATCTATCATCTTTAGAAGGAACATGTTTTATCTCTTTGATTATCTTTTATCCTTTTGTTGTTGGCTGCATCCCCTATTCCCATTTCGAACATCCACATTCCTCTTGGGGATATCCATTGATTGTTTTTTTCATGGAAATCATCCATCAATTTGGACATCTCGGTCATGCCTCTAGCGCCATGACCATCGCAGTGACGGCTTCTTGGCGGCACCCGTGGCTCACTGAAGCCTCGCTACATGGGGAACCCACTGGGGCTGCACCACGGGCACTGGATGAGGAAGTGCAACTCAGCAAGAGGAAGGCAGCAAAAACGGCAAAAAACATGAAAACGTCAATGGGACATTCTTGTTACATTCTTATTACTGTTTTGTTGGTTAGTTTACACAGACATACACACATACATAGATAGACATATACATACATATGACATATGACATATGCATATATGATATAATTATGTATGTTATATATTTGAATAGGATTTTCTGCCCATAAGCGGACATGTAGCATTTTGATACATCTTGCAGCCTTGGGGGCCACCGGGCTGCGAGTGGTATTTTCCCGCCTTCTCTTCTTGAACCTGCTGCCTGGGCGACGGGTAGCGGCATGGTTTTGTGCATCAAGCGTCAAGCCACTGTCAAATCTGGCTCAGAACCTGAACACAGACACATCTATGCAAATCTTACATCTTCGTCCCACTCCTAGCGCTGCTCGCACCAAACCTTGAATACTCACAGCCAATCATATAGACTCTGGCAACCCAACCGAGTGGAAAGTGCGATCATGAAGGTACCCCATATCCAATCACTCATGGTTTTCCCATCGTCCCTAAGGAAATTCTGCCAAGGTGCAGTTGATTTGACAGTTGTTCCAGCACCTTTGTCTTTCGATCCCTCTCACCTGCGCCAAGACTGGCCCAAACGTGTAATTAACTAGATACGCGATGCCAAGCACTCAACCGGGCCACAGAAACAAGGTTTGAACGTAACATGACTTTACGACGAGTGATCCCTACCCTGGCATTTTCAAGGAATATATTCTGACATATATTCTGTCCATGATCATACAAGTCCGCAATCTCGCAATCTCGAAACAGTGCAGATCTCGCTTATGACGCTAATTGTGTCAAATCCCTCGGCTGCTGGGGGAAACATCTTCAAAGCCAAGATCTCTTTTTGATCCGGCCTTCAGCCTGACGCAATTCGCGCATGGCCTCGATCCGGTCATCCCAGGTGACGAGGCCATGATGGGTAACTATAACAAAACATGAGGGAGTGAAACGAGTTTTTGAACATCTTTCCCAATGTGTTGTCGGGTCACTAAACATGAACGTAACATGTTGTGATATGTTGTAAGGATTTAGTTGTCAAGAATTTAGGCAGTTCGAAGTAATGATATTGAAATTAGACTATATATATATATGATTATATATTTATGTATATATATATATATACATAAGACAAAGTTGGACCTATGCAACATGAACCGAAACTGACCAGCCAAATACAGCCTGAAGCGTTGACGAACAGAAATGGTGACTGAAGCAACACAGCGAAATGTGACGACGGGAGATTCCGGCTCAACCAGCAAGAACACAAAAGCGGGGCTGTACCAACTACAAAGGATATTGAAGATATGTGGCCAATAGACATGGGTGTCCAAAAAAGCTGGTGGCCTTCAAGAATGATAGGTGATGTCAAGTTGATGTCAAGTGTTGCTGTAGCCTCATCTTAGCCGGGGCAAAGGAAACAGAAAGCGGCTTCTGCTAGTAAGAAACAAGTCTTACAAATCAGTTCATCAGCTTCCAGGAAACATGTTTTTATCTTTTCCATTTTCTAGCATCTTTTTGTATAAGGAACATCTTCCACTGGATCTCCACTTCCGGATCCCGGCACCTGCGCCTCCCGCGCCACTTCCTGCCGCGTGCGTTCGACCTCCTCGTCCAAGCGCCCGCTCTCGGAGACCACACGCTGACGCATGCCCTGCAGCTCCGTAGCAACAACCTGGGCCGTGGCTTCCTCCCCAGTAAACATGGAGAATTCACCATGAGAAATTGAGGTGTGAAAGCAGTACCCTCTGCTAAACTAACATAACTATGGAAAATCACTATTTTTAATAGTGTACCATCTATAAATGGGCCATTTTCCATGGCTGTGTTAAATAACCAGAGGGTAAATATCATGGAATACATGGGGAGCTAGGGAGCAAACAGAAGTTGCCAGTAACAAATGGATACACATGGATGTTTAGCAAGAAAGGGCAGCTCCAGCCCCATGCCAGCAAAAAAACAATGGGCTGCTATTTTCTGACTCAGTACCTAACTAGCTGCAGATTTTATGACCAACACATAGACACATTTGGATACAGCAGGAGAAATCATGGTGATCCCAGTGCTTGAAGTCATTTTAACAACTTTGCAACCCGTTGGCATTCGCGTCAGCACATCCTCCCGGGCCTCAAGACTTCAGGCTGCACGGCTGGTTTTCGAAATGAATTCAGAACGTCTGTGCGGCCCCACACGGCCCGGTGAGCGTTGTTCGCTGTAGCGGGGCAAGGGGCTGGTCACAGTACATTCCATTCTTGGCTGGTGGTCTACGTCCCAGATAGCCAACCAACTGGATGCGTGATGCCAATGAAAGATGCAAACATGTGCAAACTCTTGAACCACCAGCCATCTATTTCGTTGAGTCGCCTTAGTCAAGGCCTTTGCCTGACAGACCATGGTCACTGTTCACTACTACCATCTGGTTATTTAACATAGCCATGGAACATCACCATTTTCAATACGTAAACAATCTATTTCTATGGGTCATCTATACCATGGCTATATTAAATAACCAGAGGGTATACACTACCACTACAAATCGATTGAAAGAAGCGCCGGCCAGTGACACCGCTGGATCACCCAGCCCACATGCTACCAAACTAGGCGCCGGCAAACATCTAATCGGATGATACTATATATGTACGCCGTATGCAATATATGTATGTGTGCTTGCTTGGTTTTGTGATATGCGGTGGCATTGGGAGCCCGAACGCTCTGCACAGAGTTCTTTGCTCTGACTCAGGGCGATGGAGTAGGCGACATGAAGGCAAAGTTGTTGGTTGACATGTGCCTCACGTTCCTCAGAGCCCAATGAGGTGCTTGGAATTGGAAGCGCCAAATGCCAAAGCTGGTTCCACACAAGAAACGTGTCCAAGCAAAAGAAATTGAAAGGAACACTGATTTGGTGCAACATCTGTTCATGCTGGTGGGTCGATGTGGGTTGTACTGTATCCTTTGGGGGGAAATCATGGTGAAAGTATTCCACGTGTGAAATTCATCGCTGCAACTGCTTCATGACGGTAAAAGTTTGGACAGTTCTTTCTACCCAGTATGGTAAATCTTGATAATTTGTTTGTTGTGTTTTTTTTTTGCTTTGTGGTTACGCTGCACGTTTTATCGGAAATGTGCCGCTCGTCATGTACCCAGCAGGAATAGTTGCTTGCATCTCCATATATGATATTCCCACCACTTGTTTTGCTTGCTGGTTCCTTTTTTGGGTAAATAGCATGCATAATAATTGTTTTTTCTTGGATAATCCCTAAGGCTAGTATGTGATTGATACATGGGATATAACTAACTGTAGAAATCCATAATGCATGAAATTCTCCAGTTATCTTTTGGGATGCCCCCCAAGTGGCAATTCACCAGCTGCCAGTGCTAGTGATACCCGAATCTATGTTGATTTTAATGCCAGTCTTTATGCTCATTCTACCCCTCTTAGATGCAAGTAGATCCCAACCTTGCTTCCGTAGACGGATCCCCCGCAGCATTTTCTCCATGGTAGAGATACACATAACAAGTAGATCCAAAATACGTCTATGTGTATATGTATATATATATATTTAATCATGCATCGACGATAATGTGCATGTATACATAGTATATATCTATTATGTAACTATGTTGTTTATACTATATTACTTATATATCATTATATGATGTTATGCTATGTTAAACTATATTATATTAGATTAAACTATACTATATTATAGTAGTATGTTATTTAAATGATACCAAATTAGTCCAAATTATATTGTATGAAATTATTTTGCATGAAAATATATCATATGAAATTAAAACAAACTATGTTCAATAATACTAAATTATATTATGGTATTGCATATTGTAAAATCTAATAGTACAATAATATTATATTACTTTAAATAAACAAATCATCATATTACGATATGTTATATCATTACATTAAAACCATTATACTATCTTACAGTACGATAAAGTGTGTTATACATATTACATTGTATTCTATTCAAACATATTATTTTATAAAATGATGATATAGTATATATATTATGCTATATTATATTATCTTATGTTATCTTATCTTGTAAAAATATATTTACTGTATGATAATGTATGTACATAATCGCAAGTATGCATGGACAAACTTGGGCATCCTGCAAACAAACACCAGCCATTTCTGGCAAAAACAATGTCCATTCCCAGCGTCAACAGCACGGAGCTCCCCAGTTGGCTGTGGCCTGAGTCTTTGGAGGTCTTTGCTCCTTCCCCAGCACGGAGCTCCTGACAAACACCTCAGGTCCAGTGCGAGAACCGGGGAAGACAAGAAAACAAATTAGAAAACACCGAGAAAAACAGGATTGCGGCACCTGGAATTTGAATGAATTTGTAATCTGTGGCAGGGATGGTTCCGTTTTCCAAGGCGGAACAGTATCTTCCGCTTCCGCCCTATGTTATTTGCTCATGTCTTCGCAGGGTACCAGATGGATGGAAAGTAAAATAAGGATGATGTCAGCCATGAATATAATCATGTCACAAGAAAAACATGGAAACAAACCAAACAACTCTGCAAAGCAAACCCAGGGCTGAACAGAATAGCAAGCCAAAATCTTGGATAATCTTTGGGCCAGGATCCGTCTTTGAACTCCCAAACAGCATCCACCAGGGTGGTCGTCGGACGCTCGGCCGTAAAAACACAGGTGCGCGGCCTGGTGGAATGCGCTATCCGCCCAGTTGGGGCCCATCCAGATGGGTTTGGGTCTAAATCAGTCCCCAAATGGGGGTGAGCATACAAGGAATGTCACACTTTCATTGCATTTGGATGTTGACTGATGTTGACCCACTTTTGGGAATCGTGGCTCACTGCCAACCAGTTGAGAACAATCGGCTCCAATCCCTGAACCGCTTGAGGGCCCCCAGTCTATCATCAGGGGGCTCAAGTTACATCAAAAAGGCTCATCTGATGAATAGATTGGGCTGGAACCAAAAGAGACCCACGGTGATACACACATGATTTCAAAATTTAGCATCGCAGGACCGTGATTGATGGAACTCGGTAACTTGGTGTGCAAAAATAAATCTGGGCCCCAACTGGCCCCACTGGGGTATGGACAGCACATTCAAGCCAGTCCCATAGATGCTCCAAATATCTCCAAATAATGCCCTTGATAATGCATAATTACCCAATAGATCAGGTTAGGTTATTTTCTGCCTAAAAGGTAATTCCTTATTTCCTACCTAATTTGATACTTTTTTAAGGTTGCAGAATAACCTTTCTTAAGGTTATTTACTTTTTTCTTAAGGTTATTTACTTTTTTTCTTAAGGTTATTTACTTTTTTCTTAAGGTTATTTAATTATTTGAAGGGTTTTGTTAAAGGTATTTTCTCCTTTTTGTTTGAAAAAATGTCTTAAAAATGTGTGTTTCCCAAGATTTTTGTTGTATTTTTGCATGTAGGAAGTAGGATTACTTTGTGTCAAGACTTTGTGCAGATAGGATTGCTGTTAGTTTTTTGTGGAAAGTTGTCACACTGGCCCAAGCTGGCTTCAAGACTTGCTTGGAAGTTGGAAGACATGACACCACATGGCAGAGTTTGCACATGTCATGGCTGCCTATTTCAATTTCAATGTAGTCACACATGGACATTGGTCAGGCAAATCATGTTTGACACACAGGAAATGGCAAACATACACAAACTTTTACAACTTACCTTCCTTTTTGCTGCCATGACTGGCAAAAGCAGACTTGGACCTGACCCTTCGATTTCAATCAATGACCTTCAAAGGAAAATCAATGAAGTGATGCAAAGGCAGGGCTGTCGTGACTTGAACAAGCTCTTGCACAGCAGGCATGCTGTGAGTTGGAAAACAAGTCCAGATCCAGAATGGCTTGGCACTGATGAGTTGGTGGATATATGCTCCACTCTTTTCTCTTTGCATACAAATGGTGTACTGCAAAGCACCAAAATGAGAAAAGCTTTACTTGCCTTGCAAGCAGAATCTGGTCGCATCAACTTCACCAAACTCCATGATACAGATTTTGCAGATGGGATGGATGAGAAAATTCGAATTGCTTGCCAGCAGTATCGAGAGTTGAAGAGAGACCCCAAAAAATACCTCAGATGCATTAAGAAAGCTTCTGTGAAAGAGAAGAACAATATAGACAATGTGTTGTCCTTTTTGCAATTACATGAGGATGATACAGTGCAAATTGGAAAAGACCAAGGGCAGGAAGAACTTGGAGAAATTGAAACAGACCAAAAGCAGGAAGAACCTAGAAAGGATGAGGATAGCACCTTGCCTTAACCCTCCAAAGTTTTCAAAAGGGTTCTGTCCAGAGAGGCATCAGACCCAGCTTCGCCAAGCTTTGCAGCCAAGAGCACCAAGCAGGTGTCTGGCAGTGCTTCTTTTTTGGACAGGAAAGGCAGTGGCTCTTCCTTGGAAGGCAAAGGCAATACAGATTCCCTGGACAAGAAAAACAGTGGCTCTTCCTTGGAATGCAGAAGCAATACAGATTCCTTGGGAAGGAAAAGCAGTGGCTCTTCCATGGGAAGGAAGGGTTCTTCGAAAATTGACCTCCTGGATGAGCTGGATTTGAGTGCTGATGAAAAAAAGGAGCTTGCAGTTTGGATGCATGAGAATAGCAAAATGGAGAAGAAACAGAAAAGAAAAAAAGG